AAGGTATTTTTCTTTCATTTACCAAAAAAAAGTATTAGAAAAAGTATTTTTCTTTCATTTTAACAAAAACAAGTATTAGAAAAAGTATTTTCTTTCATTTTAATGAAATGATGTAGTAAAAAGTATTTTCTTTCGTTTCAGCAAAATGAGTAATTTTTTTTATGTTGTAGAAAAAGTATTTTCTTTCATTTCAATAAAATGCGTATTTTCTTTTCATGACGTAGAAAAGTATTTTCTTTCATTTCGACAAAATGAGTATTTTATTTTTATGTTGTAAAAAGAGTATTTTCTTTTTCAACCAAAAAAAGAGTATTTTCCTTTTAGTTATAGAGCACAAATTTCAACGTTATTTTTGTAAAAATATAAAGCAACAGATTAGTTCCCTTGAGTTTGTGTGAATTTTTAGAAGAATAATTAAATTCATGAAGAAAATAGAGTCCTGAAAACGTTGGGTATTTGGGGGGGAGGGGGGGGGGCGGGGAAAGCACATGAAACATGGGGACTTGGGGGAAGAGGGTTGAGGAGAGTAGCATAAAAAATTATTTTCCTAAAAAATATTTTCTACTCTCTAACCAAATAGTAGAAAATACTTTTCGAAAAAAGTTTTTCACTCACTCACCAAACAAGAGAAAGTAAGTGATAAAATCACTCATTTTCCATAAAAATATTTTCTAAGAATACATTTTCCGTGAAAAACAATTTTCTTCGTACCAAACACACCCTTATGCCTACAGATTTGCTAGAAATTTCCTGAAAGAATAAGCCAAGAATTAGAAAACCAAAAGAGAAGCATAGTTTGGAACTTTCTCAAAATGACTGTTTTTTTAGAAGCTAAAGCAAAATGTGCATTTTTATCCTTTAGAGTTGGCGCTACTAGTCCAAGGAAATTGAAGTTTCAATACACAACGCCAATTTATAGCATGTTTGGCCAAAAATTTACTTTCATTTTTTTTTTGGCTAAAAGTACCCTTTTTTGGTCAAAAGTATTTTTTTCTAAAGTTAAAGATGTTTGGCCAAGCTTTTAAAAGGAAAAAAAATTACTTTTAAGCAGAAGCAGAAGCTATTTTTGAAAAGTTAGAAAAAGTAGGTTTTTTCAAAGGTACTTTTTTGAAAAGCACCTTTGCAAAAATATTATTTAGAAGCACTTTTTATAAACTTAGCCAAATAATAATTGCTGCTCAAAAGTGATTTTCTAATTGATTAGCCAAACATAAATTGTTTCTCACCAAAATACTTTTTTGAGAAAAGTATTTATTAAAATAAGCTGAGTTTAGAAGCTTGGCCAAACAAGCTATAAGACTGGTATATAGTTTAGAATCTCTTCTTCTTTTTTACGAGTTCCTCAAAACAAAAGAACATTTTATAAGCGGACCATGTAATTTTCAACAACAACAATAACAACAACTCAGTAGAATCCTACTAGTGGGGTCTGGGAGGGTAGAGTGTACGCAGACCTTAACCCTACCCCGGAGGGGTAGAGAGACTGTTTCCGAGAGACCCTCGGCTCAGAGACAATAGATCTGTAACAACAGCAGAAACCAGAAAAATAATATCAGCAACATAAGAGACGGCAAATAAATGAAAGCAATAACACAAATACTATGCAAAAGTGCAAAACACAATATAAGCCGCTAGCAGTCCTAGACAAAACACAATCAGAATAGCCGGTACACAGAGGAAAGATGCTCGACTACCCCTTAACCTACAACCCTAATGCTCGACCTCCACACATTCCTATCAAGAGCCATGTCCTCGGAAATCTGGAGTCGCATCATATCCTGCCTGATCACCTCGTCCCAATACTTCTTAGGCCGCCCTCTACCTCTTCTGGTACCTTCCAAATCCAGCCGCTCACACCTCCTAACTGGGACATCTAGGCTTCTCCTCAGCACGTGCCCCAACCATCTAAGTCGCGCTACCCGCATCTTGTCGTCCACCGGAGCTACGCCCACCCTCTCCCGAATATCATCATTCCTAATCTTATCCAGCCTAGTGTGCCCGCACATTCATCTCAACATCCTCATTTCTGTTACTTTCGTCTTCTGGATATGTGAATTCTTGACTGGCTAACACTCAGCCCCATACAACATGGCTGGTCTAACCACCGCTCTATGGAACTTACCTTTAAGTTTCGGTGGCACATCCTTGTCACACGGGACTCTAAATGCTAATCTCCATTTCATCCACCCAACCCCAATACGGTGTGTAACATCCCAGTTTATCTCCCCATCTCCCTGGATAATTGACCCTAGGTACTTGAAATTTTCTCTCTTGGGGATGACTTGTGAGTCAAGCCTCACTTCCACGTCCGCTTCCCCCGTCATATCGCTGAACTTACACTCCAAATAATCTGTCTTAGTCCTACTCAACTTAAAACCTTTATACTCCAGGGCCTGCCTCCATACCTTTAGTCTCATATTAACGCCGTTTCGCGTCTCATCAATCAGAACTATATCATCAGCGAATAACATATACACCATGGCACCTCCCCTTGAATATGGTGTGTCAGTGCGTCTATCGCCAGCGCAAAGAAGAACATGCTGAGCGCAAATACTTGGTGTAACCCTATAACGATCGGAAAAAGCTTTGAGTCACCTCTCACTGTCCTTACCCGAGTCATAGCTCCATCATACATATCCTTTATCGCCCTAAAATAAGCTACCGGCTCACCTTTCACATCCAGGCATATCCACTCGACGCCCCTAGGGACCTTGTCATACGCCTTCTCTAGATTAATAAACGCCATATGCAAATTCCTCTTCCTATCCCTGTACTGTTCCACCAACCGCCTGATAAGGTGGATAGCTTCCGTAGTAGAACGACCCGGCATGAACCCGAACTGGTTTTTTGATATAGACACCGCCTTCCTTACCCTCCCTTCCACCACCCTCTCCCAAACTTTTATGGTATGACTTAGTAACTTGATACTCCTATAGTTGTTACCATTCTGAATATCACCTTTATTCTTGTACAGCGAAATCATCGTACTCCACCGCCACTTATCTGGCATCCTCTTCGTCCTGAAAATAATATTAAAAATCCCAGTCAGCCACTCCAAGCATGTTCTACCCATATACCTCCAAAATTCTACTGGAATCTCATCTGATCCGGTCGCTTTGCCCCAACTCCTCTTACGCATCGCTCCCACGACCTCCTCAATGTTAATACCCCTACAGTACCTAAAGTCTCGATGACTCTCGGAGTGCCCCAATTCCCCTAGCACGATGTTTCCATCCCCCTCTTCATTCAGAAGTTTATGAAAGTACGACTGTCATCTTTGCTTAATCTGGCATCTTCCATCAATAATCGACCTTCCTCGTGTTTGATGTACCTCACTTGATCCAGGTCGCGAGCCTTCCTCTCTCTCGCTTTTGGCAGCCGAAATAACTTCTTGTCCCCACCTTTGCCCCCCACTTCCTCATACGGCCGACCAAACGCAACAGTCTAGCCTCCGTGACCGCTAATTTCGCCTCCTTCCTAGCTTCAAATATCTTTCTTTGTACACTCGTCTATGCTCCTCGTCGGTGCTCTCTACCAACTTAAGGTAAGCCGCTTTCTTTGCTTCCACTTTAACTTGGACCACGTCATTCCACCACCAGTCGCCTCGGTGCCCGCTAGAGTAACCCTTCAAGACCCTTAACACCTCTCTCGCCACCTCCCTTATACAGTCTGCCGCCGCCGTCCACATAACACTAGCGTCCCACCACTCTTCCAGGCTCCCGTAGTCGTCCGCCTCCCCTCCAACTCTCGCGCATTATCCTTAGTCAAAACTCCCCATGTAATCCTGGGTTGACCCCATACAAACCTCTTCTTCCTCTTTACCAAGATACCGACGTCCATCACCAGGAGCCTATGTTGTGTCGCGAGGTCTCACTCGGGATCACCTTACAATTCTCGCACAACCCCTATCACACCTCTTGATTAGGAGATAGTCAAACTGAGTGTTAGCACCATACTCCGGAAAGTAACCAAATGCTTTAGCGAAATCCAACAGTGAAGTACCACCTCTGTTCCTATCCCCAAAGCCGAAGCCACTGTGCACCTCTCCATAGCCAGCAGCAGACGACCCAATATGACCATTGCAATCCCCTCCTATGAATAACTTCTCCGTAGGTGGAATACCTCGCAACACCTCATCCAGCGCACCCAGAAGCGCCTTTTAACCTCCTTGTCCAAGCCCACCTGCGGCGCGAAGCGCTAATGACATTCAGAGTGCTCCCTCCAGCTACTAACTTAATCGCCATCAATCTATCATTCACCCGCCTAACCTCTACCACTGACTCTCTGAGCTCCCTATCCACCAAAATACCCACTATATTCTTGCCCTTCACGCCTCTGGAGTACCACAATTTATACCCGTTTCCATTCCTCGCCTTCGATCCTACACACCTAGTCTCCTGCACACAAGCTATATTGACCTTCCTCTTCTGAAGAATCTTCGCCAGCTCTATAGACTTACTCGTCAACGTCCCTATATTCCACAATCCAATTCTCAACCTAAATGCGCCCTTGTTCCCCTTACCCCCTTTGGGCCCCGTCCCACCCTTTGACCCTTGCCCTACCCCCTACCCACCGCGCGCCCTCCCCGAGGACATGACCCTACTCTTCCATTACAAACCATAACCACTATACCTACGGAAGTCTAGGAAAAAAATGCCAACACAGAACAACAAAAGGAACACACAAACAGGAGACTCGAAGGGAACAAATAGTAACTACAGGCCCACTACTAGACTGACTAGACTAGTACGAATTACTACAGCAACAAATTAACAAGCATAGGAGGCGGGAGGTACCAATTCCCGCAAATAGAACCTAGACTTTCGACTTGGTATACTCCCGATGTTGTGGAGCCCGACATATAGCGACTGCTCTGCTGCTTCTACGTGTGCACCTCCCTACCGTCACCAAACAGCCACAAAATTGATACCTGCAAAACACACAAATACCACAGAACAAAGAAAAATACAGAAGGGCCGGATTATCACTATCACCAGCGGCAGAGAAACGCGAATCTGGTGATGACCCACTTGAAGTCGCCAGACCAGTCTGGTGTCACCGGAGAACAGCGACTGCGCGAAGAAACGACGGTAGAGAAAGTTATAAAGAAGAAGGAGCACCGAAGAAGAGGGGTTGGGAGTTGGGACTGCAGCTAGAACTACAGAAGAAGAAAGAAGGAGCGGCGCCGGCGGTGGGACGGTCGCCGGAAATAATCTGTTGCTAGTGGTTAAGAAAGGGGAGACGAGAAAAGGGGGGAGAAAGAAAAACGGGCTGAGAGAGAGAATAGGGAGAGAGGAGAGAGAGGGAGGAGGGGGTGGCGCTTACCTGGCCTGCTCGTCAACGCCGGTGCCGGCGCTGGAGGGATTTGCCGGTGGAAGTCACTACTAGAAACTCAGCAAAAACCGACCAAGAAAAACCGACCAACTTTGGTCGGTAAAAAAACCGGCCAAAAATCGACCAAAGTTGGTCGGTTTTTCAAAATATTTTAATTTTCAATTTTGGTTTTACGAAACCGACCAACTTTGGTCGGTTTTCTTTGGCGCAAAAATGCAGGAAACTATTTTTGAGTCCCGCGAAATTTATTTTTCAAGAAACCAACCAACTTTGGTCGGTTTTTGCAATTAAAATAAATAAAAATTAATATTAAAAAAATTGACCAACTTTGGTCGGTTAATTCGACCGGTCATTTTAAAAAACCGACCAACTTTGGTCGGTTATTTTCGTGCGAAAATACAATTAAAGATTATAAATAAAAATAAAAATAAAAGACAATCTTAAAACAAAATGCACCAATGGTCTAGTGGTAGAATAGTATCTTGCCACAATACACAACCCGGTTCGATTCCCAGACGGTGAATATTTTGATTACATAATTAAAATACCGACCAACTTTGGTCGGTTTTTTTTTTTGCAATATTTTTTTTTTAATTTAATTTACCGACCAACTTTCGTCGGTATACTAAAGCGACCACCAAAATACCGTCCAAGAGTATTTGGTCGCATTTTGGTCGGTAATTGGCCATAACCGACCAAAGTTGATCGGTTTTTTTGATCGCTAATTACCGGATTTCTAGTAGTGAGTGACCGTTAAGTTTGAGTGCCGAAGAGAGAGAGAGAGAAGCGCGTGGTAGTAAAATAGAATTATCGTTCAATCTTTTGACCATGTAATTTTCAGTAAATTCAAAATCATTGATGCACCTAATGACATAATTATAAACATATATCTTGATGTCACTACGTAGCAGAGTATTTGTTAAGGTTTATTATAAGTCTATATTGGCAGCTGCAGCCCTACTATTCAACAGCAGCAAGGTGCCAAAAAACTTTTTTAGTTTTTTTTTTAAGTCTTGATATCCAAGACTACTTATCTCGTATTAGAATGTATAAGCATCAAACTTTGCAATTCATCAAAACTTTAAATAACAAGATACTCCAAATAAGAAATTAGAAAACATCAAACATAATAATCCATGCTTCGGATCTGCGAATATTTTTTCTCTTAAACCATCACGTCACTTTTGCTTGATTGTGTTAAAAACTCTTTATACTGACAATGTATATAGCAAAAGGTTGTATATTGAAGTAAAATTATAGTACTAAAAGAAGTCTACATGTCCTCCATAATAAGTTGTGATCCAATGTGGACGAGGGGAGACATTATAGTTGCTCTTGCAGTCCTCTATGAACTTATCCAAATTAAAAGGATCTTAATAGAACATGATATCATTTCTGCCTTGCCCTATAGGTATCACCATCTCACTGCATGTCTAAAAAACAAAACTAGCTACTAATTTCTAAGATTTTATATATATATATATATATATATATATATATATATATAAAAATTAGGCTCCACTCCCTCTTCCAGCTCCACCGATCCACCATGCGGTAGGATTTTAACACGTGTTATTGAACCTATCCGTCACACGTTGTGCTCTTACCACTGAACTAATGCAAGGACGTCCAAATATAGGTCCTTGTATCAAGATCAATTGCGCGAATGGTAAAGTAATTTTAGAACATTCCATACAACATGAATAGACAACAATAATGATGTTTAACCAAAAATTAGATTTTATGTCAAAGCTTGAATTTAGAAGAACACGGGTTACTGATAATCGGAAAAGAGTATAAAGAAAGAAATTTGAGAATAAGATATGAAAGCTAGTAAATCAGGGTATATTTCAATAGTGTTTTTTCCGTCCTTACAATTGTTTGTGACTTTCCCTTTTATAGTCATTTTGGGAATACAGACTTTACCTTTGTCATAATAAGACAATTATGGGCAGTTAATGACTTTAAATGTTACGTTATGTAATCATATACATTAAATACATATTCTTAACGTTTCTCGCATTAAATGTTGTATCTGGCTCTTATTTGCTGTCAGATTCATTCCTTTGATTCTTCACGGTCTTTGCGGTTTAAATGCCTTGAACGGGTACGAGCATTGAATATCTCTCATGACTGCTCGTGTCTCTTCTTTTTAACTTGCTCGTGTCAGATGCTGCTCGTACCTATTGAACAACCTTAATTCTTTGACTGTTTGACCAATCTACGTGTCATGACACGTCATCTTCAATATGCAGAGTAAATTTTTCCCAATACTGATAGTCCCCCCCCCCCCCACTTTCCATTTATTCGTCAGTTGAATATTTGGGAAGTGGATTTCATAAAAGGAGAATTTTTGTCACCATTAATGTTGTGACAAGATTGACGCTTCAATGGTCACATCCATTTAATGTT